TTGATGCGCTTTCGCCTGTAGTGTGAACGTAGCCTAAGTCAGACAAGCAGTTGAGAAAGAAGGAGGACATCACAAAAATTATAAAAGACTGATGCAGCTACTGTGAAATAACCCATTGGTTTCTTAAGTCCAATTTTGAAGCATCAAGATTTTCCATTTTCACCTTTGTCAAATACTCATTTGAAGGATTTGACAACAGCGGACCATAATTACAGTGAAACTGTACATTCGTTAGCTACCAACTTACACATTGATTCTCCTAGCATGATTTAGACTGACCAATATTTGTGTTTACTCAAAGCTGAGCAGCATCAGACCAATATTAAAAGCCTGGCCAGGAGCAGAGGCCCAAAGCCAGATGGAGTATCTGTTTAACCATTCACACCAATCTCAAAACACTGTATAATTACAGATTACGGCATCAGTCTGAAGAGAGCACTGACAGCCAGAAAAAAAACAAAAAAACAAAACAGAATATGGGTGAAATTGGTGGCTAGTTATTCAGTCTGCAGCAGAACTGCAATCAATTCAATGGTTAACACTGCAAAACTAGATTGTAAGGGAATTTAACCTGGCTTTTTTGGATAATTCAAGAAGTAAACTTAAAATGTTCAGCCAACCTGCTGTGTGTAGGCCGGGGGATGCCAATGTAGTAGTATCTTAGGTTTTTATTCCAAGCTAATTTCTGCAAATTGCAATGAAATAATAAGGAGAGCAAAGGCACAAATGATCCCTGCCTAATATTCTAGCATTACAATATCCATATGAAGATACTCCACGTTCAATCTCCATCATGGCTTATATCGTTTGTAAGGATTATACGTTTATTCTAGAATATCTAGGCTGTTCTTGCTTTCAAGGCTTTTGTACAGTACGTTGTGTTTACTTCCATGTTGATTAATCTGACTAGTCATTGTTCCCTGATGCTTATAGATTTTTTTTCCTCTCTCATTTGTCACAACTAAAATCTGAAGCCTTTATAATCCACAGTGCTTTCATCTGCTACAATCCACTTACAGCCCTAATTAAAAAGTTGTTTCACCAGACAGACGGGAAAGTGGAGAACTGGACAGGGATCCAAGTCCCCTCACCTCAGGTGGAATGGCTAAAAGTAACTGCTTCCTCTTGTGACCTCCTTTTTTCTTTTCTGGGTGCTTTGAAAAGGCCTGACAAAGCCTTCATGGGGTTTCATATTTATCCTCTGCAAAGGACCATGGATCAAAAGAGATAGGCAATTTCACATATCAGAGAAAACACCGCAAGGGCTGTTTGTTGAGTGAAAACAAAATGCTGGCTTGCACTTCAATGTGTCAAGAGCTTACAGACCCAGGCTTTCTAACATACCCTGCACTTAAGTATTTGGAGATACTGTCTTTCTGTTGACTACTTAAAAATTATTTACCAAAACAGGTGCCTGTACAAAACACATGTACATCTGATGTGAATCAGTCAGAAAATAGTTTGATGTTCATCTGTTGCTGCCTGCTTTTTGCCATTAGCGATGTCTTAGCTACTCCTCCATTTCCTCTATTTCTACCAGTGGCTTTGACTTCTTGCTCATTTTTTCACAAGATCAGCATCTGCTAGAAAAATGTGGTCATTGATAGAGTGTATTCTTAGTGTCACTTTACATGTTACTTCTGTTCCCAATTAGAGTTCATTATTTGGTCATTTCTGTATAAAAGGGGAAGTGAGCATGTTGGTCACCAATGAGACAGACCACAATCATGGTCATACAACTACAGCAGAGAGTATTATGATGTTTAGTCCAACTGCAACCTTACCTTCAAATAGCTCAGCTAGCTCACAAGAGCTAGGTTGCACACACTAATATGTGCTGAGCACTGATAGGCTGTTACTCAAGATATGTAATCAATAAGATTATCAATAAGACTAGAATGTGAGACATTTCTGTCAACCACAGAGCAGCATCTGAGGAAATTTTTAAAAAGAAAGAAAGAAAAGAAAAGCAACCGCCAAATTGTTAGCAAAAAGTCACCACCTGAAAACATTTGCGTCTCACTGTTTAACTAGTTCCTTTATTGTCCGGGCCATCAACAAGATAATCAATACGGTAATCAATCCTTTTTTCAATGCTAATTAAGATTCCTGGTATTACTGACTTAAATTCAAAATGTGATTAAAGTCTGCACAGCATCTCAGTAAGAATCCCAGTATTTTGTATTACACCATTTTGCCAGGCCAAGTAGTTTTATTCAATCAGTCTGCCCTACAGTATGAGCTACTTACTGTTACAGAGTATTTCTTGCTCTGTTATTTCTCAAGAGACAGCCTACCCCAATACCTTAAACAGAGTGAACTCACATTCCAATCTCCAGCATGTAAAGAGTCACCAAAACAGACAGACAAAAGCACAAAAAATCAAAAGGTAAGCTCAAGAAAAGAAGCAACATAAATCATGAATCAAAATTAATGCAGAAAGGATCGACATGGGCACTCTGAAAGAGTGACGTGGTAATAGACAGAGATAAATATGAGGGATGTGGACAGAAATGAAGAGTGTGTCATAGTCCCCGGCATGCCATCCACAACAGAAAGAAAGCAAGCCGAGAGGAAAAGGCACTGTGATGGGCAAAAGGAGGAAGGAATCGTGGGAGGTGGGGAGTAAAGGAGCAGCAACAGAACTGAGACAGAAGGCGAGGATGAGGCAGTAACAGTGGAAGGGAGGGGAGCATAGTGAGGTATGTCGTAAACAGGTAAGACCCCATTATCAGATACTGTCAGTGATGCATTACACGTCAAAAGGGAAAGCGCTAGTATCCCAGTTATGGGATTAAAATGTCCTCCTATTCCTCACTTTGCATTTTCAGATTCTCTCCTTGAGCACCTCCAAATCTTTTCCTGTCCCAAGCGGGGCTAAACTACACATTTGAGACTTTTTCACCACATCCTAATTGAAGTGTTTATTTAAAATGCAGGATTTTGCTCACAAGAAGACACCAAGGTCCTGGGAAATTCTTTATTTGAAAGCAGTAAAGAAACCCCCTGCTGTGTGCTTGCGAAGGAGAGGGTTCATGCACACTGACCTAGGCTTTCTAGCAAAGCCTGCACTAAAGTCTTCGGGGATGCCTTTCTCTGTCAACCACAGTAGTTGAAAATAATTTATGCATCTCACAATCTTGACTGCATGATGACAACAGTCTCATTCATTCAACTCGTGCTGCTTAATCTAAAAACATGCAGATGTTTCAACATCCCAAAGAACTTAAAATAATCTTTCAGCTGCCCACCATCAGTGCTTGAATTTCTTTTCCGCCCCTCATATCTTTTTTTAAATTCAGCAACTACACGTGTGACAGAACATGTGCGCCTCCACCTACACACTCAATTTCAATAGTCTACTTAATATTATAAATGCGACACAGCTTCCAGATCAGCTCAGCCTTGGCATTCACAGGCACTGACGAGGGAGGGCTGATAGCATGAGATGCTCAACCGCTATATCAGAGTTTGGGTTGTTTTTTTTTTGTTTTGTTTTTTTATAAACGCAGCTGCTGCAGCAGCCAAAGCAAAAAGGACAAAGCAGCTCAAATGATGCCGTGGAAGGAAAGCATCTCCAGCGGTGCTGCTGTGTTGTTCGAGTTGAAAATTAGACCCATCCCAGTCAACCACCGAACAGACATGTAATTTCTTTGATGTGTCCATTAAGGATTTGTCAGTGAAGGAAGCTGTGTGTGTGTGTGTGTGTGTGTGTGTGTGTGTGTGTGTGTGTGTGTGTGTTAACCCCCTCCTCCCGGAGGGGTAACGCTGGTAGCCTGGGGGCAGACTCCACAGGTGGAGATGGCAGTAAAAAAAAAAAAAAAAAAAAAAAAAAAGAAGATAGAGCATCTACAGGAGGTCCATTAACAATACCCCCCCATGGTGACAGAGAGAGATCTCAGACACAAGCAAGTACTAACCTCTTTAAGACAAGCAAACTTTAATAAACTTAACTGGCCTATACAAAAAAAAGAAAAAGAAATGCTTACTTCATGGTTAAATCGTTTGATGAGCCAAGCTTCAGAGGCATCTTAAATGTAGCACTCCTACATCACTATTCAAATGTGACTAAACTACACTGACGGCCATTTTGATTAATGAGACTGGTGTTGACAGAGCCTTAGGTGGAAATAACTTCATTTTTGATTTCCAGCAAGTTCCTAAGCTTGCACTGCGCTCTGAAAATAACACATCACATGCAAGTAATACCATGAAAGAACACGTGAGTCCGGGGATAAGTAATAAACTTTGCATCTCTCATCACATCCCTGACTGATCTCTATGCCAATCAACACATTACAGAGCTGTGAAATGCTGCAGATGTCCAGGAAACCATTCAAATCGGCAGCAGCAATGCCTGCTAACAGAAATGCACTGCAAATCATGCATTTGCACCAAGAGCTGCTTCCCCAGATAGAAGACATTTCTCTGATGAAAGTGGCCCCACGAGTCTTTACGCCAGCTGCAGCGTCCACATGTAAGATGATAAGACAGACAGCATAGGTTGGGATACACAGGAAACCCACTAGAGCGGCTGCGGCTAGCCATCCCCAATTATGCAGCAGTCACGGAGAGACTTAACCAAACAACCATTACCTTTATCTGATCGTCATTTTCGCAAGATTTCCTGTGTCTTTAAGAGCAACGGTGAATCGCTGTCTGAATTTTTAACTGTGGTGTCTGCGTGCATGTGTCAAAGAAGACGCCGTTAACTGAATGGGGGCTGAAAGCCTGCTCGTTATGATACAGGTAATAAAATCAGATACATGCTGGGAGGGGAAATAAAATCCACGCCAGTACCACGTAAACGTTACCTGAGCGCCAATTAAACTTTTCAGCCTTGTTTTCTCTACCTAAAATATACTGCATTTATCCAAATACTTAATCCACACTGGTTTTTAGCACACTAATAGCAGCTACAATCCGGCTAACCGAACACTAATGGATCTAATATCCCCCAGTTTCTATACGCACACCAACGGAGAAGAGAACGCACTCACCTTTATCAATTTCCACCTTTTCGACAGGAAAAATAACGCTCTCGCTGGTCATTCGGCGGCGCACACACAGACCGTAACTGCTGTAAAGGGAACCGGCTGTCAAAGCTTCGTAGCAGAAAACCTCCGCTGCTTTTCACCTTTGTATCTCTTGCTGTCCGAGCACTCCGCCGACCGCCTCTCGGTTTGTTCAAATCAGAAGTTCATCCAAAGTTGCAGCGGTTCGCCCCGCCTCGCGACGGCGATTAGGTCACCGCCTCCCTGTAATCCTCTGAGCTGTACTCTCGCGATACGGACAGCCACTGCTTATCAGACTGCGTAGCCTCGCGGTGACACGGCGAATTGAATTAAAGAGAGGCCGACCCAGTGCTGTTGAAAAAGGACAGGAGAGAGGGAATGCGTTGCTCTGGCAACACAGTGGCTGGGCTTTCAGCGATGCCCCCCCCCCCCCTTTTTTTTTAAAATTCAAGCCAGTGATGTTGTGGCAGGTTTGCGTGTTGATAAACACTACCTAATCGATCTAATGCTTGCATCGGGGACAGAATAACAGGAAGCTACCTGCTGGAATGTGTTTACCCTGTATAAGAACTGCCATTTGGTTTTCAGCTGCTACATTGGGATATAATGAAGTATAATGAAGGTGCTCTTCATTACTTAGATAACAGTACCGAGGGGTAATTTTGGCACTATTTGTATAAAAGAATACAAGCATCGAAAAGGATGAAGAGGGGCATTAAAATATTTAAATGTATCTATATTTTGCTAGTTCTCAGATATGAACCACAACGTGGGTCACAGATAAAACCTACCCACTACATTTGATGTCATTAGCCATTTCTGGGTCCAATGGCTCTTAACTTACACAAAGAAAACAAAGACTGAGACACATTAGAGTATTAAAATTATCAGTGTAGCTGGTTTTCCAGGTGTTACGATAAATAATATAAAATAAAGAAATATGCACAAGGTGTAGTTGCTTTAAAAGTTAGTAGTATGTTAACTAGCTAGTAAACATCTAAACATGGTGGTCTCTCTTAAGAATTAAAAAAAATATGGCTATGACTTTGGACTTAATAAAAGGAAAGAAAACTAAATATCAGCAACATTTGGATGGTTAGTGAAGTTGAGTTGGATCAAATAATAGTCTGGTAGCTATTTTAGGTATAACAAATGGCGTCACAGGGAAAGTAAACTGTCAAAACTTAAGCCAAGAAAACATCTGAGATTACAGTTAGTCAATAATATGTTTTTGTGTGGACTGGGTCAGGAAGATGGGACAAACCTACCCAGTCTACCCATTGACTAATATTAAGTTCATCACACATTGCTCAAGAGTTGTCAGTCATACACTTAAGACATGATGCAACCACTAGTTCCAATGGAAAAATCTGTATGAGTACACATTTCCCAGAGTCCGCTGGTTCTCACTAGGTAAAATAAGTTGCTGCCCCAAAAACCTAATGATCGATTTTTTTGTGTTTTCCAGGAAATAATCACTGACTACTAGTTCGTAAAACCTGCCTACAAAGAGCATTTTCTTTAACTTTGAAGGTGAACCATCTCTATTTCTGGTTTGCTGTTCACTCTAGCTCAGAGAGTATCTGGACTCTATTTGTGAATATGTGTTTTTCCTTAGTGACAGGTGGTTACTAGGGGGTCAGTGACTGGTCTGTAGGCCTGTGTAACTGGGGCTTTCACAATCTTTTCCTTTGCAACTGCCAACCCCAGCAACCACTCAAAACTGACTATAGAATACATGTTTTTCTTTCATTGGCGGTTGCCAGATGATTGCTGATTGGTCTCCAGGCTAGTGTGAATGGGGCCTTGTTCGTTAATCCTACATTGTCACCATGATTGCCACACATCTAAAATGCCAGAGAAGTTAACGTCACATGGTTAGTGATCACAGTTAGTGGTCACAGTTAGTGTCTTCAAAATCTCAACTGGCATGCACATGTCATCCACGGCCCCCCACAAATGTGTGTCATTCATAATGATGGTAAAAACCTAAAACTATATTTAATGTACAACTCAGACTAAGTAAACGTGGTTGGACATAGGTCAAATTCCATGTTCAGCCTCAGGTATTGAGATCCTGAGGTTAAGGTTAGGATAAGTTGAGAAAGTCTCTGGTTAGGGTTAGACCATCAAAAGCAGTGGTTATGGATAGGGAAGATGACCAGGTTGAGTCTCCACATTGTTCAGTTACAAGATCCTGAAATTGTTATTCATTTTATAAATGACAGTACAGCCCCTAGGACATTCTAAGACAGCTTCACGAGTCAGGACAATACCCAGATGCATCAAGCCTGGTGTGTATACTTCCATTATTAACATGGAAGTATACACACTTCATAACTAGTTACCTAGTTATGAGTTAGCACTCATAACTAGGTAACTAATTACCTAGTTATGAGTGCTAACTAGGTAATTAGCTAGAACTGATTGAAAGTATTCAGAAAAAAAACACACAACAACGACACAAAAACTAACAAATAACCTTAATATTGGATGCAACTGGTGTTGTTTTCACATTTTCACCTCTGAACTCTGTTGGGGAAGCACTTGGTACATGTCTTTTGTCACACACAAGAGGTGAGGGTACATTTTAGACGCACTCAATAAATAATTGCAGGACACAGGACACAAGATGGCCATCTAGCAGCAAACTATCGATCACCTGACTGTTCCCTGCACTCTTCTCACAGTGGCACAACTGGATGTCACATAGACTTTGTGCTATTTTTTTCACTTTCATCTCTGTTGGGTAATGTCTGGTGAATTTTGGAGTTCCAGTGTACGTGAGAAAATTATTTGAGATCTGTGCTCTGTCATTCAGGAAGTTAACTCACAACAGTGTGAGTAACTAGAAACTGACAATGATCATAACAGTTCAGTAGGACTGGTGATCCACTGTTTGGAGGAATTTGCTCTTAAGCCTCTAAACCTGGTGTGTTTCCTATTAAACCACACCCATATGACACAGACGAGGTACTATATATTTATGTTTGTGTTTTAGTGCCAAGTATTTAAATGGGAGTCACTTACTGTAATGGTGAAGGTGTTTGCGGTAAACCTAATTCTAACACTTTCATCTATCCCAACCCCATTGCAACACAATAGTAAAAGTAAAGGAAAAACTAGCAGATCATTTAAAAGAGTGCTTCACTGATGTAGCATTGAAGCTCATGTAACATTGTTAGACTCAGAGTGGATAAAGAATCAAAATCGATCCCTGTTTTCTTATACTTGTTTCTACTGCTACTGGTGTTCAGAGCAGGGCCACTTTGATTGACAAGTGTCATGGCCCAGTCAGCTTACCCAGTGGCGTCTGCGAGGCCTCACCTGAGCTACATTAAGTCCCTTTACTGGATGCCTCTACTTTTTTGTGCTGTTGGAACCTTTAATTTAATTAGCTGACCAATACTTCAACATGCTGCATTATACAGACTATTCAAGAAGTCTGGTGTTCAGTTTTGATAAGTGAAATTCGATCATTTTATTAGTTACTATGCACTAATAAGCAAATATGTATGTCTGTGTGTTGTCTCTCAACAGTTTATGAATGGAGCTTCCTAACCAAGCTAGCTAGCATTAGCTTGCAATAGTTAGTGCATCATCTTCTTGTACAAATATGTTAACTACTTGCTTGAAAAAGCTAACATGGCAGTGGCGACTAAGTAGCTAACATTGAAGCTTCAAAATGTAGAATCCAAAAACAATGCGTGACATCACAGTAGTTGCTTTCATCATTAACACACACTCACTACATATCATTAGTAATAGCTGGAACAGTAAAAGGTGGGGTTCATTGAGATGCTAATGTAAAGTCAGGAGAAGTGTTCAAATCCAAAGACTTCTAAAGTAGTTAAAACACACAAATATTTATGCAGTGCCCACTCTGGAGCGCGAACAAGATGCTGTCCCAAGTGGATACATTCAACTATCTCCAGGTCTTGGTCACCAGTGAGGGGAAAGAGGACGAGGAGACTGACAGGCAAATTGGTGATGTGTTATGGTGAAGATCGAGCCGAGCATGAAAGCAAAGCTGTCAATTTACCATCAATCTATGTCCCTAACCTCACTCTATAGTCATAAACTAGTGATGAAAAGAACAAGATTGCAGATACAAGTGGCTGACATGAGCTTCCACTGAAGGATGCCTGTACTCAGCTTCAAAGGTAGTGTGAGGAGCTCTCTGTTTTTGGGAGCGACTCAGACTAGAGCTCCAACTCCTCCAGATTGAAAGGAGCCAGGTAGTTCAGACATCTGACCAGGATGCCTCCTAGGTTAGGTGTGTCCATCTCTTGGCTGGCTTTGGATGATCTCTCCCCCTGGAATAGGTGGAGAGATCATCCCTGCCCTACCTGCTGCTGATTACCTGGATCAGGTGTGGTTTGCAAATAAGAAGCTACAAGGGCAGGTTAGTTGGAAAACAAGCAGGACAACGACCCTCGAGGCCTGGAGTTCGACACCTGTGGCTTAGATTGATACCCCCAAATTTCCGACCTGGACAGTAGAAGAAAATGGGCGGAAGAATGGTAAAACCATGACAGGTAAAAGGCCTACTTTAACTATGCACAGTCATTTAACCCTGAGGTGCATGAGTAGGGACCTTTGAACAACAGTCAAACAGTTCACAGTGATTGAACAGTATTTTTGCTTGAAATGTCCACTCATGCTCAAAGCAAAAACTTTATGATTACACCGGTTTATGTAGCCTCCAGGAGCTGTCTGCAGTACCTGTAAACATACTTTGATGTGCCTGGCTGTGTCTGTGCCAGTGGATTTCCCCATTAATTGCTCCTCTTAATTAATGGGATTTGTGCTTGAAACACAGCACATAAGTGAACGTATTTCCTACCACCCCAGAATATTTGGCAACTTTGAGAAGAGTTCTGTGATGTTGTTTGAGCAGCCTCGAGCTTAATAACCAGAAATCCTGTAGAGTGTAGCCTATTAGCAAATCACATCCACCACTGCGGCAAAAGATTTAGAACGATATTGCAGCCACATTAAAAAAGTCCCTACTTTCTTCAAAAACACTGCATTATTTATTTCTTCTTAAATTTTTAATTAGATAAGAGAAAGAGCATTGCCCTAATTAAAGTAGCTCAGCAGGTACCAATGTGAAGAGTGGGTGAAAGACACAAGATTTCAACTCTCACCCACATAATCACCTGTGAATAGTCACAAACTTATTCTGTATTCTCTGTCCCCAGCCTGTCTTTTCTCCTCTGCAGTTAATAAATGCGGTTCTAGTGGCAGCAGTTCACATTCTCATCTTCATTTAGTCATTTTCTCCC